AAATTGGCAGATAAATGAGATCCATTTGAATTTTAGAACGAAAAAAAATTCGCAAAATATTTTTCGAACCCATTTTTTTAAAAAAAGAACGTGCGAGTGGGAAGAGGGGAGGGGTGGGGGGTGGGAAACCAACTCCGACTTTTCTCTCAAAGCCGCCAATCGGATCATCCGTCGCGCGCAGGGTGGATCGGTCGTGGGGGGGGGGGGGGGTCGACGCGGTCGCTAAAGTCGCCCCCTGCGACCTCGTGACCTCTGTGACCTCTGTGACCTCGCAATCGCCCTCACTCCCCCCCCTCCCCCGCCATCCGCCACCCAGAGGCCACCGCTGAGATTGAGTTTGCCACACGGATCAACTCCCATGGTATACTGCCCAAGCCGGTTGGGTCTGTACCACCTGGGGTGCAAAGTCCTACCAGTGTCCACCATGAGCAGTGTCCACCATGGCAATGTCCACCACTGCAGTGTCCATCATGGGCAGTGTCCACCATGGGCAGTGTCCACCATGAGCAGTGTCCACCATGAGCAGTATCTACCATGAGCAGTGTCCACCACTGCAGTGTCCACCACTGCAGTGTCCACCTCGGGCAGTGTCCACCAAGGCAGTGTCCACCATGAGCAGTATCTATCATGGGCAGTGTCCACCATGGGCAGTGTCCACCACGGCAGTGTCCACCTCGGGCAGTGTCCACCACGGCAGTGTCCACCACAGCAGTGTCCACCACAGCAGTGTCCACCACGGGCAGTGTCCACCACGGGCAGTGTCCACCACGGCAGTGTCCACCACAGCAGTGTCCACCATGAGCAGTGTCCACCATGAGCAGTGTCTACCATGAGCAGTGTCCACCATGAGCAGTGTCTACCATGAGCAGTGTCCACCACTGCAGTGTCCACCATGGGCGGTGTCGACCGTGCACAGAAGAAGGCTCAGGGTAGATACCGTCTGTGGCGACAGCCCCAGTTGCTGTGTTCACGGTTCATACAAAATCGGCAAATGTTTTTCGCCCCGAGTCATTTAGAAATCAATTGTGTAATCACGTTACAATTTGTGAACGTCGGTACCGCCCAGGACTGCGTGAAGACGCCCAATTTGGCAGCGCCGGTCTCTTCAACCTCCTTGCGTGGATTCCAAATTAGGGGGGGGGGGCCTGTGGTGGGGGGCGGGGAGCGGGCGGGGGAGGGGGCACAGATGCCCCCCCCTGCCCCTTTAGACTCCGCGGCTAATGTTCGACCTCCGTCAAAACCGGCGGAGAGGGAAGCAACTCATTTTGCGCGTGGCGGATGGGGGGGCGAGCGATTGCGAGGTTGCAGACGTCACAGAGGTCACAGAGGTCGCGAGGTCGCGAGGTCACGAGGTCGTAGGGGGCGACTTTAGCGACCGCGTCGCCCCCCCACGACCGATCCACTCCGCGCGCAACGGACGATCCGATTGGCGCGACGGCCTCAGCAGCGGTTGAACCGGCGGGTCGGGCGAACGAACGAAGAACGACGGAACGGTGGAGCGGTGAAATCGGCCAACGAGAGCGTTGTGACGCGCCGGGGATGCGGCGATGGGTGGATCGGTCCAGGATGCCACCAGGATGAGCTCCTGTCGCGGACAAGTTCCCGGCGGCACAAGCGCAACCGGCGCCGGCAAAGCCACCGCAACCGGCAAAAGCCACCGCCGGCAAAAGCCACCGCCGGCAAAGCCACCGACGGCAAAAGCCACCGCCGGCAAAGCCACCGCCGGCAAAGCCACCGACGGCAAAAGCCACCGCCAGCAAAGCCACCGCCGGCAAAGCCACCGACGGCAAAAGCCACCGCCAGCAAAGCCACCGCCGGCAAAGCCACCGACGGCAAAAGCCACCGCCAGCAAAGCCACCGCCGGCAAAGCCACCGACGGCAAAAGCCACCGCCGGCAAAGCCACCGCCAGCAAAGCCACCGCAACCGGCAAAAGCCACCGCAACCGGCAAAGCCACCGCAACCGGCAAAGCCACCGCAACCGGCAAAGCCACCGTCCGTCACCACGTTCGCACGACGTGGAGAATCGGCTGCGTCTTCGACGGCGGATGAGCAAGATTCAATCAGATTTTCTCTTTCGTTGAGACGAACTTGTTATTTTTAAAGTTGCGAACAAAGCCCGCCGCTCGCCGCTATACCATTCACGCGATACTCATACTGACGATAACCATGACCACTATAATACTGATAATATTAAAGGGGGGGAGGGGGGGTAGGGTTAGTGGGGGGGGGGGGTCTAGCTAGCCCTCCGATGCATTTTTAAATCGCGCGCCGTCCGGCACGTTGTCCGACGTTTCGCCCCGCGTCCCGTTTATGCGGGGAACACACACACACACACACGCGCAGACGCGCAACCTCCTTCAGCCCCGCGCGCTTTTCTCCCCGAAACGGAAAGCCGGCCTCCCCGACAAAAATGGGAGAAGGGACGTGGCGCGAAACGTCGGGGCCTAAAGCAGCGCGGCTAGGCGGACGTCGTGGGGGGCCGGGGGGAGGAGGGGGGGGAGGAGGGGGGGGGGAGGAGGGGGGGGGGAGGAGGGGGGGGGAGGAGAGGGGGAGGGGGGGGGAGGTCGTTACGAAGCCACCGCAGGTGACGAAAACTACGGAAAGCCAGGCGGGGTGGGTGGAGGGGAGTGTGGTGGAGGGTGGGGGGGGGGTTGACGGGGGGGGGGGGGGGGTAGCCTAGAGAGGTCAGGGGTCAACAAGCAGGGGTCGTGCGTTCTTTGAGCCGGTAGTGGTAATGGGGGGACATGACTGCCCCCCGCCCCCCGTGCCGGGCCCCCCGCGTCTGGATGAGGTCGTACAGCCAATCCTAGGGGTTTGCTCGTGACTGGGGGTCAAAGGTCACGGCTAAAACCACCGGCTCCACAAAGGTTGGGTCGAGGACCAGGTTTGAAGGTTCGGTCAGACAGCTGCTGGGATTGAAGCGAGTCTGACGGTCGTGTTTAAAGCTGGGTCCCAAGGTCGGGTTTAAAACCGGGGTCGGCTGGGCCTATAGGTGGAGTCTAGGCCGGGTTTAAAGGTCGAGTTTAAACCAGGTCCAAAGACGCGGGTCTCAAGATGTGATCATATTTGGGGCTTAAAGATCGGATCCCACCAGGGTTTTCGAGGCCAGGTCTAAAGATTGGGTCTCATGGTCAGGCTTAAACCGGGTTCAAAAGGTCACAGGTCACATTTAGACGACGAGGTCTGAAGGTGGGGGGGGGGGGCGGTGTTTAGATTTTGTGTGACGATCTGGTTTACACCGGGTCTAATGGGTTGTTCTAAAGATGATGTGTAAATGTTGCGACTAAACCGGAGGGGGGGGTGGGGGGGGTCTAAAGGTCGCGTTCGAAACCAGGCTTGAGTCCAGAGGTCGCAAACGGGTTTTGATTCCTTACCCGTACCTGGCCGCACCAGGGTCACAAACGGGTACTCGTACCCGGCCGTACTCGTACCCTACCCGTACCCGGCCGGGTACGGGTAGGGTACGGGTATCGGGTACCCGATTGCGACCTCTGGGATGAAGCCATGTTGCAGGCGCGGGTGGGTTGATTCTAGAACTTGAATTGTGAGAAGAGACAAGACGTTGGGAAATGAGTGACAAACGGTGACTCACCAGTGACTCACGGCCTACCCGTACCCGGCCGCACCAGGGTCGCAAACGGGTACCCGGCTACCTGTACCCGGCCGGGTACGGGTATCCGGGTATCGGGTAGGGTACGGGTATCGGGTACCCGATTGCGACCTCTGCTTGAGTCTAAATCTGTTTTAAAACCCCGGGGCAGGGGGGAGTGGGGTGGGAGCGATGGAGGTCGGCTGAATTTAAATGTGAGTGTTAAAACACCGGGGGGGGGGGGGGGTCCCCTCTCAAGCCACGTTCCAAGCGGGTCTGAACGGCGATTAGGCCGCAGCGAAATCAGCGGGGGTCGGAGCGCGTGACCCAGCTCGTCGCCGCAGGAGTGTGAGGTTCGGCTCAAGCGGCCGCCCTGGTTAACGCTTGCGGCAAATAACCGCGGGCGCGCCGCCACCACCCCCCCCCCCCCGCTGCTGTTGTCACTCGCGGCAGAAGTTCACGGACCTCCCGACGCGCCAGGCCCCGAAAGGTGACAAATGCAAAAACGATATCGCAAATGTACTCCACCGCACACGCGCCCACGCGCACGCGTGCATACATACACACGTGCAAGTTGATGCACGCGTGTGTGCGTGCGTGCGTGTGCGTGTGTGTGCGCGTGTGTGTGTGCGTGTGTGCGTGTCTGTGCGCGCGTGTCTGTGTACGTGTCTGTGCGCGCGTGTCTGTGTACGTGTCTGTGCGCGCGTGTCTGTGCGCACGTGTCTGTGCGCGCGTGTCTGTGTACGTGTCTGTGCGCGCGTGTCTGTGCGCACGTGTCTGTGCGCGCGTGTCTGTGTACGTGTCTGTGCGCGCGTGTCTGTGCGCACGTGTCTGTGTGCGCGTGTCTGTGTACGTGTCTGTGTACGTGTCTGTGCGCGCGTGTCTGTGCGTGCGTGTCTGGGTGCGCGTTTCTGTGTACACATGTGTGTACGCGCGTGTCTGTGTACACGTGTGTACGCGCGTGTCTGTGTACACATTTGTGTACGCGTGTCTGTGTACACATGTGTGTACGCGTGTCTGTGTACACATGTGTGTACGCGTGTTTGTGTGCGCGCGTGTCTGTGTGCGTGTCTGTGTATGCGCGTGTCTGTGTGCGTGTCTGTGTACACATGTGTGTACGCGTGTCTGTGTACGCGCGTGTCTGTGTGCGTGTCTGTGTATGCGCGTGTCTGTGTGCGTGTCTGTGTACACATGTGTGTACGCGTGTCTGTGTGCGCGCGTGTCTGTGTGCGTGTCTGTGTATGCGCGTGTCTGTGTGCGTGTCTGTGTACACATGTGTGCGCGTGTCTGTGTGTCTGTGTGCGCGTGTATCTCCCGTGCACTCTGCGCAAGCGTCGTCGGTGACCCCCCCTCCAGCCGCTCCACTCCCCCCCCCCGTCACCACCCGTCACCACCCGTCACCACCCGTCACCACCGCGACTCTACTCGGCGTACTTGCTGCTGCTGTCGCTGTCCCGCCCGTCGAACTCGTCGTCGGCGCTCTCTGCGGTGGTGACATCGTTGCCGCCGCGAGCGCCGCTGCGTCGCAGCGAGCGCACGACGGCGCTGCCGCTGATGCCGCCGATGCCGCCGATGCCGCCGGCAAACGGAGAAGCGCTGCCGCCGGAGATGCCGCCGCTTTGCCTGTGGGACGGGACAATGCTCCAAGCTCGTGTGCTGTTTCATTCAGACTCTGTCGCCTCGACGGACCTGGTTTTCACCTGAGGACGGCTGCTTGCGTTGTGGCCGAAACGTCGTGAGAATTGTTTTATTATGTTTTATTTTTATTATTTTATTACTTCCCTTCTACGTGACTTTACCGAAAGAACCAAGAAGAATGCTCTCAGCGTCGGTGAGGTGGTGGTGAGTAGGTGGTGAGTAGGTGTTGAGTAGGTGGTGAGTAGGTGTTGAGCAGGTGGTGAGTAGGTGGTGAGGAGGTGGTGAGCAGGTGGCGAGTAGGTGGTGAGCAGGTGGTGAGGAGGTGGTGATCAGGTGGTGATCAGGTGGTGAGCAGGTGGTGAGCAGGTGGCGAGTAGGTGGTGAGTAGGTGGTGAGTAGGTGGTGAGGAGGTGGTGATCAGGTGGTGATCAGGTGGTGATCAGGTGGTGAGTAGGTGGTGAGCAGGTGGTGAGCAGGTGGTGAGTAGGTGGTGAGTAGGTGGTGATCAGGTGGTGAGTAGGTGGTGATCAGGTGGTGAGTAGGTGGTGAGTAGGTGGTGATCAGGTGGTGATCAGGTGGTGATCAGGTGGTGATCAGGTGGTGAGTGCGTCCTGCCCCCCCCACCCTCCCCCCCCACCCACCCCACCCCCCCCACCCCCCCCACCCCCCCACCCCACCCCCCCACCCCCCGCCACCCCCCACTCACCGCAACTTGCTCTTGAGGGTGGACACCTCGCGGCTCATGGCGTCCTGACCCTCGGTGGCCTCCTCGAGGTCGCGCTGCAGCTTGCGCCGCGCCGCGTTGGCACGACTCGTCTCCTCCTCGCTCTCCTCCAGCTGCCGCTTCAGCTGCTTCAGCCGCACCGTCGACTTGTCCAGCTGCGGGGGTGGTGGCGGCGGTGGTGGTAGTGGTGGTGGTGGCGGTGGTGGTGGTGGCGGTGGTGGTGGTGGTGGTAGCGGTGGTGGTGGTGGTGGTGATGGTGGTGGTGGTGGTGGTGACGGTGGTGGTGGTGGTGGTGGGGGCGGTGATGGTGATGGTGGTGGTAGTGGCGGTGATGGTGATGGTGGTGGCGGTGGCGGTGGTGGTGGCGGTGGCGGTGGTGGTGGTGGTGGCGGTGGTGGTGGTGGCGGTGGTGGCGGTGGCGGTGGCGGCGGTGGTGATGGTGGTGGTGGCGGTGGTGGCGGTGGTAGTGGTGGTGGCGGTGGTGGCGGTGGCGGTGGTGGCGGCGGTGGTGGTGATGGTGGTGGTGGTGGTGGCGGTGGTGGCGGTGGCGGTGGTGGTGGTGGTGGTGATGGTGGTGGTGGTGGCGGTGGTGATGGTGGTGATGGCGGCGGTGGTGGCGGTGGTGGTGGCGGTGGTAGTGGCGGTGGTGATGGTGGCGGCGGTGATGGTGGCGGTGGTGGCGGTGGTGGCGGTGGTGGCGGTGGTGGTGGTGATGGCAGTGGCGGTGGTGGTGGCGGTGGTGGTGGTGGAGCGGTCGGACAACAACAAAGACACCTTTAGAGAGTCGTGGGGCCACTTGTTGCTTTGTTTTCGTCGCTTTATTTTGGTGATTTCGAAAGCGTTTTTGGTGTAGCCATATATTTGTTTGTTGTAGTACACAGTTAGACTGATGATTCTAGATTTGAAGCTTTCGTGACAGCAAGGATTCATACTCTTAGGTTTTTTCGGTAAAGTCACGTAGGTAAAAAATACAATAAAAATTGATAAAATTATAAAAACCTAAGAGTATTAGACTGATGGCTTTAATCGAAATTGTCTCGTGGTTGCTATTGTTTGACTTGCATCCCACTGTCATTTTTGCACACAGAGCTGAAATGCGGTGGCTTTTTCTGGAAGACTTTGCTGTTTTTACAGGATGTTTCTGTTTGCGTGCGGTCACTTGAAGATGTTTTCTTGTTCGTGTTTATGTTTTGTTGAGGTTGCACCCGAGTCAAGAGCCTAATGGCTCACAGGGCTATACCTTCGATTTAAAGCTTTCGTGACTGCAGGGATTCATCTTCTTGGTTCTTTCGGTAAAGTCACGTAGAAGGGAAATAATAAAATAATAAAAATAAAACATAATAAAATAAATCTCAGATGCTGTCTCCCCCGACAGACCTGTTCTTCACCTGAGGACGGCTGCTTGCGTTGTGGCCGAAACGTCGTGAGAATTATTTTATTATGTTTTATTTTTATTATTTTATTATTTCCCTTCTACGTGACTTTACCGATAGAACCAAGAAGAGGGTTATACCCATGACATGAACTGAACTGAAATGAACTAAACGT